ATATATATATTAAGTAGTATTTTAAAAAATCTAATTGACTACAAGGCTACAAAGATTTATAATCAATTAAAATATTGATTAAGAAAATAGAATAAAAATTATTAAATTAGATTCAAATGATGTTTAATATAAATAATAATTTTTAAATCTTGGTCAAACATTTATTGTCTTATGTTTTATGACTACATAATTAGGGTTGTTAAAAGGACTCTTTGTTCGTGAACAGCTCGTGTTCGTCTAGTTAAGCAAATGAGCCGAACACGAACACACTTTTTGAGCTGGAAATATAAACGAGCCGAACACGAGCTGAGCATGGCTCTGTCGGTCAATTTTTTGATAGATTTGAAAATATGAATATGAAAATAATTTTTTAAAATTTAATTTAATATAATAGATATATAGTTTGAGTTTTAAAAGTAGTATGTTTTAATTTTCGAAAAAATGAGATCAAATAGATCTCATTCGTCCAATAGTTTGCATAATCGTGCCCGATACCGTGAATACTACACCCTCCCAAAAGATAAGTGTAGACCTCGGCGATAGATCCAATCCTGCAAACTAAGAGATTTGTGACATCCGTTTGGTCTGCGAACTTTTTTTGTATGACCGACAAGTTCGCCTATCTAATACAAAGATTAAATAGGGTTTATTTTACCTGGGTTCCAAGTTTCCTATAAAGGCAAGCCTCTATAGTTAATTACATCTCAAATGACTGAGGTCACTTGAGAAAACTCTCGATAATGATCAGAGGTATTAGCTTCAAGATTTCAAAGTTTAGGTTTTCACGGTAGGACGTGGAGAAAACAAGTGAAAGTGACTCAAATAGGAATAATTATTTCATGAGTCCAAAAAAAAGAAAAGATAGAGGATGTCACAGATCCTGAGGAGAACCCTCAGTGACTTCCCAAACTATTCTACTGTGTGACTGCATTTTTAGAGATGATGATATTCAATTGTTCGATCTTGCCAATTTTATTATTTGGGACTTAAATATGCATAATACTCGATTGTGCAAATAGCCCACAGAAATAAGAGGGTTTACGTCGTGTCACACGACAACCTCGGAACCTAAGGCGGGTTGGGACTTACGCTGCATAACATGGTTGTACAGGAGCCTAAAAAGGGAGTGTGAGGATTTACGTCGCGCCAGACGAGCTACTTCGAAGTCCGATGGGTTGTTATTATGCTAGGAAGAGATAATACTGAAGAATATCATCTTGCTGCTCGGTCTGAATTCCTCGTCACGCTGCCCACAAAGTTGGCCCCTAACTCCTGTCGTCGCGACGGCTCCAGGGTTTAAATGCTTGAGATTAGTAGTTTATCTTTCGTAGTTTTGGTGTCAATATTTGGTTTTGTTTTGTTTCGATTTTGGTTTTGGTTCTGGTTTTACATGCAGAGTAGTCAAATTGCAGGTAAATAAAAAGTACTTGAAAGCCCACATAGTTGCCTTCAAGCGCCTATCGTCGTGACAACTCCAGGGTTTAAGTGCTTGAGATTAGTAGTTTATGTTTCACAGTTTTGGTGTCAATGTTTGGTTTTGTTTTATTTCGATTTTGGTTTCAGTTCTGGTTTTACATGCAGAGTAGTCAAATTGCAGGTAAATAAAAAGTACTTGAAAGGTAAAATGCAGTAAAATAAAATGTTGTAGATAAACTGTAAAAGCGTACCTGGGCATCTGCTACTGTTGTGCGATTAATATTGTGATCATAGTATGATTTGCAGCATATTTAAACATACTTGCAAGAAAAATAAATAAGACAAGAAAACCCAACGCGAAAGGCAGAAAAATAAGTTGTAAAAATCACAAGCAAAAGAAATCTTTAGCCACATATGAAAGATCAGGACTGAGTATAAGACATTGGTAAAAGTGGGGGGCTCAGAATTGGGCTGTGTGCTTCTCGATCTTGAACAAGCGTTACCAGCCGGACAATCTACAGAAGACAGTCCTTAACCTCAATCCAAGTGACTCGCCGTTGACCTTTATAAATTTTCATAGAAAAATTCTTGAATTTTTCATACAAAAGTTGTTTAAGTCTTTTTTATGCAGAGTTCTTTTAATCATGCAGAAGAAATTTTTATTTTATTTTTTAAATATTTTGTAAAGTCGTACAGTCCACAAACTAGTCACTTTAATCGTGCTAGAACTACTGACAACCTAAGAGTGTCAGGGGCAACGATCTTACCAAGAATCGGCAAATGGTATCATGGATCATTTCCTCTCCCTTGTTGAAGATAATTGAGGTAAGAAATATTTTTTTAATAACCCCACTTCGTATCCCTCGTTTAAGCACACATAAGCAATGTCGTCATCGCCCTCACCACTTAAACTCTAGACTTATCCTTGTCCGATGATCCAAATGTAGCGTTAAGAAATTTCCCCAATTGCTATGAAGATTTGAGTGTAATATTCAAGCTAAGTCTCGATGCACTGGGTTTTATTGTAGGTTAAGTCATTTAAGGAATTTCACTGTTGATTTAATTAAGGAAGCATGGATTACGCCTCGGTGCGTCCTCGTGTCTAGTGTCTTAATCAGTTTGTGAATCAGGGTCAAATGTCAAGTTTCGTTATTTATTCGAAAATTAGGTGAATGAACGCTCACTTAGGGTGTGCTCTTAAAATCTAGAAAGTTTATGCTGAGAAATAGGTGGATGGACTCTCACCTAGGGTGTACTCCTAAAATCTAGGAAGACTATGCTGAGGATTAGGTGGATAGACTCTCACCTAGGGTATGCTTCTAAAATCTAAAAGCCTACGTTTTAACTTGTGCTTAAAGTGATTTAAATCATTTCACCCTCAAACAAGTGTTTTCCAACTAATTAAATCAGAAATTCCCAA